CAATGCTCTCGAGAATGAATGGGACCTGTTTGAAGAATTTGCACTGGAAGTCAAGTCGAAGAATGGTCAGGATTATGCGGGCTATGAGCATTCAGACAGTGAGGATGATGGCTTTGATCCTTTTGAAGGCTACGAGCACCTTTATGTCAGTGAAGACCAGAACGTCTCACCAACCTCTCCAGACGGAATCCCCCCCTCTGGTGCCTCTCCTGGTGCCTCCCCCGCCTCTCCTGAACCTGATGAAGTAGCAGTACCCATGGATGCTGAAACCAACCTCCTGGTTTCCCTCCGCCTTATGTACGGATTCAACCCATCCCCTACTGCTCAAACACCCCACCCTCAAGCACCCAACCTCCGGAGTTGGTCAGATGTCCTGGGTGTCATCGGGACAAAATCAGAACCTGATGTCTCAGACCGAGACAAGGTTCTAATTCGCGAGTTCATTTCATGCCTCATCGACAGCTCTTCGGGATTGCCAGCACCCTCCGACGACCTCAACGCAACATCGGATCAGCCTTTGGCAACATCCTTTGCGCTCGACACTGTGGAACGCATCAGTGAGGACCTATACGTGTTCAAGCTACCTCCTTCCCCCTCTTGCAAATGGGTCATCGGTGTTGATCGCCCCACGACTGTTCTTTACATCTGTCGACTGGTCGCCTCTGCTCCGAACACGCATACGGTGCTGACAATCGCCTACGCAGCCCTTACATACCCTTCCCTCCTTCTGCAGGCCTCCTCGGAGCCCAAACAGCTCAATCTCCCATACGCAGACAACGCCAACCGTTTTAACAAGCACCAATTCACGACAGCAGACTTCGACAGTGCTATGCTCGAGTGCCGCCGCTGCTGGGCCTGCAATACTTCGCGGTGGCATTGTAGGGAGGATTGCAAGGGAATTCGGTAGTAAGGAGTCTGGGTTGCAAGGACCGTCCATCGAGGTCACAGTGCATCATTCGGGGTACTTTGTCCCGTCTAAACACGACGGGTATTTCTACTGGGATGACGACCTCACTGGTGAGGAGATTGCATGTTTGTGTGGGACATACTGCCTCTATACAGGTAAGGTCTGTCTTCCGTGAGTGTCTTCAATAGTGAATTGATTCCTCATATACAGGGCGTGGCGAGCAGACAACAACGGTCTCGTGGTTCCCTCCTCCAGACGTTTGGGACAAGCAGGGTTATGGCTGGCCAGGATGGACGGAAACTAACGAGGAGTTTTTCCAGCAGT